AATATATATATTATAAGCGAATTGCAAAATACAAAGTATTGACGGCATGTCCGTTAGTTTTATGATTTTTTTTTACTCTTATTGATTCGTAGTACTGGTATTCGTCTAACAACCGGACTTGGTGAGAAGTCCTCTACCCAGGGTTGTTCAAAACGAATCGAATATTCGAATTTATTCGAATAGCAAAGTATCCGAATACCTTTTCGGCTGATTTTCAAATAATTTCGAATGGGAGCCACTTTTTGTCGTAAACACGGTGTTTCGTTTTACCGTGTTTTTTCTGTATTTTTTATTGAAATACCCTTTGCATCCTCGTGAAACTACTCGTTGCGTTCTGGCAGACGCATAAGTTGCCGAAAATATATTCAAAAATGTAAGTCAAAATTCTTGCTTTAACTTTCACTTCTATTGCGTACATATATTGCCAAGTTTGGATCGATACCAAAGCCATACAATTTTAACATGAATATATATCCGAAATACCAGAGAGACGTTTTGATCATGAAACTTATTCAATCAAAGGCAGCCTTCAGCATAACAAGGTGCGGTACGATAATGAAGAATATAGTTACATCGGCGGCAACCTGATTTAAACGATAAACAGGCTATGCTAATTGTAAGACCCCTCTGATGCAATGATGTCAAAACTAATCTGTTATCACCCCATAATAAGGATTTGAGTTTCTGAATTGACATTTTCAATAAAATAAAGGCATTATTACGGGTAAAACTATTCGGTTAATCTTAATGTATACTTAGCATACTTTGTTCTTAATGTTAAAGTGATGGAGTTTTTCAAAGTTATACAAACTCATTTATTCGGTCGTATTTCAATTTTCGCAGGGTGGTTCTTGTCGTAGAGTCTTTCACGTAATGGCTTATCGGTTGCATCTTCCTGCGCCAACCACTTTTGCAGACGCATTGAACTAAAGCTTGAAAAGGCGTGTATGGGCCTTCATCGATATTTGTTGCGTTTCGAAGGATTTATTGCAAATAAGAAGCGCTTGGCATGTTTTTGCATCCAATTTTCTTTAACCTATTTAATTAATTATTACAAAAAATATCGGAACTTCCGAAGTATGAGAACCAAGATGGCGGACACCAGAACGTGGTATGTCCGCCAGGTTAGGGTTAGGCTATAATTTCAGGTACAAATACTACCGGAGTCACTTGGCTAGTCCCCGAACTCATAATAGAACAAAAATAGGGAAATTGGAATAAAATTATGGCCTAACCCTAACCTGATACACATACTACGTCCATAGTCCGCCATCTTGGTTCACATACTACTTTTAAAACAATTCTTTTTGAACGAATCCCTGCACACAGTACAGTACCTAATTGAGAACCTCGCAGTTCGCACATTCCGTAATTTACAGTAATAATTACCTATAATGCAGAGAGGTTAGATAGTAAAATGGAGACAAAAAATCAACAAAGTGTTATCCCGTTCTTTCAAAAGAAACCCAGCGGTGAAAACCAAGTTAGTGGTGTCGACAGGACAGATGAAGAGACTGCTACTTCAACTCCCAGCAGCGAAAAAGTACCTCTTCCCATGTGCCAAGTCTGCGCTAAAATTCTTTCAAACAACGCAATGAAACCCGCAAAGCCAACGAAAAAAATAATATCAAAAAGACAGCAGCAAATTTCTCATTAAATTGAATTTTCTTGAACCGCCTACTTTTGCCGTAATTGCATTCTTTTGATTATGTTTTGTGTTCAGGACATTTTTGGTTTTTTTGAAGGTCCGCCGGTCCGCGAAATTTGTTTTGAAATTTTACCGGTCCGCGAACTGAAAAAGGTTGAGAACCACTGCACTATATGATATTTTCTAACCGATTTGAACTAAGGCAAGCCCACATTTAAAAATGACATGTCTTTGCATAATCTCTGAGATATTTGAATGTAAATGAGAAAATAGGTGAAGCTAGCTCATGAAACAGGGGAGGATTTTCCAAGGAATCTTGCATAATATTTCGGAGGCCATGTAAGTCAACATATCTTTTAGAACAGTATTTTCAATCGGTGTGCCGTAAACTATCGTCAGGGGTGCCGTGGGAAATTTTCCAATTTGTATGTTCATGCGATGTAGCGCCCGGCAGAGTAATCATGTAGTACTGTTCCATACCAGAAGTTGACAGCAGCAGGTGGCGATTTGCCGCTATGTTTGTTTTTATTTGATTACTATTCAAGATGTCTAATTCAACATCTTTCTTCAATGTTTCTTCAAGAAAGCTCATATTAACAATTTAACACTTATATTGTGAACATCAGGTCTTTTCCCCACATTTTCAGCTGGTGGTGTGCCGCAGTATTCTCTCAATGGAAAAAGTGTGCCTTGGCTCGAAAGAAGTTGAAAAAAACTGTCTTAGAACAGCGGGTGGAGACTTTCAAAGTGATTTAAAGTGACAAATTATTAATTATCCAATTAGGGTTAGGGATAAATTAAAAAGTTGAATTTTCAGCGCAATCTGCATTCCTAACACTAATTGGATAATTACTATTTTTATTTGGGTGTTGGTGGGGGATGTTATTTTGCACTGGCTTTGTACAAATGATCTACCCCGTAACTAATATGGATTCCAGCTTGCGTGTATCAATCGTTGTCTATTAGATAGAGGGAGTAACACAAATGTGAAAGATAGCCTTTGCTGTTCACACAAATTAGCACCCATTGATAGCACGAAAGTTTAGTTCGCTACAGGCGTGCTTAGCAGGTGTCATTTTGTTACTGATGAATTTGCTCGTTTTAAACAAAGATTTAAACAAAACTCTGTTAACGGAAAAAACTCGTATTTAATTTGCAATATTAACGGAAGGAGCGCTCTTTCGAGTATCTATGTTGTTTTGAAGAAGTTAAAATAAAAGCTAGGGCACCTTACTTTTAAAATGCACTTTCGCACTTTTATTTTCGACTGCGAAGCACTTTCGCTTTCATAATTCGCTCAGAGTTAACACTGGTACCAGGGTGGCGATGGAAAACAAAGTGAACTTGGTCAGGGTGCAGATGTGGTTTTAAAATGGACAGAAATCTTACCAAATAATTGAAATTATAAGCTTTTTGGCAACCTTTTTACGAGCGTTCCTTAAATCGAAAAACTGATGGATGCTGGTATAAATTAAGTAGGTACGGTGCGCAAAAAACGAATTGGAAACATGAAGATGCCCGACGAGAAGGACTTGAGGAAGAAGTGCTTATGATTATAAAGTTGAAGTTTTTTATTTTTCGTTCTAGATACCATCAATTGTTACGTCATTATCACATTTTAAACATGAGTATATCTGGTATAGACTAGAGATGTACCGATGTATCGGTATCGGCAATATCGACCATTTTTTCGGTATCGGCCATGTATCGGTATCGGTTAGATTAAGGCCGATATTTCCGATATATTTACCTTTTTGATATGGCCCAGAATGTTTTAAAAGATTAGTTGGGATACTACTTTTTAATTAATTTTTTGTCTGGAGAGATCGTGAGCCATGAGCCATGCATGTCCTCACCGCGAGAGAATAGAATTCACGTGTATTTAGCTATTTATCAGCCAAACTAGCTCAACTAATTTGGCTATTTTCATTATCAAATTTTTATATTGACATTTTTATTATTACATAATAATAATAAAGAAATATATCAACACAGCACATAAAAAAAAGCAACTAGGCGCCCAGTTTTAAATCATACAGTGGAATTGGGGTCCTTATTAACGGCACATAAGTTTTTGGCAAGGGTATAAATTCTGTTTGTCGTCAAGTACGAGTGTCATTTAGTCCGTCGACATCGATAAATTCCGACACAATTATTACTCTACGCAGGTATTAATTTTAATTTTGTTTAACTACACGATTTCTTTATAGATATATTGACTTGACCGCCTAGCCCTAGACAGTCTCAAAATATATGATAGCAATTGTAAAATATTGTAAAATAGTAAAGTAAAAAAACATCCTCGACGGTTATAGATAGGCCTTCCTTTTGTCGGTGCTGATTGATATTCTTTCATGTTGGCTTTGACTTATTGCGTCGACGATTACGATTAGCCACGAAACAAAATATATGTAAAATGCTTTTAATTTGAACGTAGGCGCTAGAATGTGTGGGTGATATTCGATATTCTTTTAAACACGAATAACGATATTCGAAGGTTGCGATATTAACATTAAATTCAAATTGGACATCCCGGCTTATGCGTTTTCTAATTGAACACCGAGATTACTAGCGTTACTGTACAATGTATCTTAATCAGTTAAAGCAAACACCAAACATTAATTTCATATTATGTGATATATCTCATTTTCGATCTGAAATAATGTGTACTATGAACAACACTCAAAGACCATTGTTTCAACCCGTCTGCCCTACACACCACCCCTAATTAAGTAATAATTACATAGTATCGGTATCGGAATATCGGCCTTTTTGTAGTATCGGCGTATCGGTATCGGCGTTTTTAGCTGGTATCGGTATAGGCGACAAAAGTGGTATCGGTACATCTCTAGTATAGACTCGTTGTGGGCACTCCCCTGCCCTGCCCGTAAATATTTTTCTGTTTTTAATTTTGACTCTGGGAACCACTGTGTTAAACTATTACATTGAGTGACGTGCGAAAGATTTTGTGCTGTCATAGCGCCATATTTTGTATTTTAGACATTGGAAAATAGTATTCGATTGATATTTTTCTTCATATCTTTCTAAATTATTATATAAAATTTGTGTAGCGAAAGCAGCCAAGTTAGTTCGACTGATGAATAACTTTCATTTAGGTGATACCGGAAAAATGGTCGATATTGCAGATACATCTCTAGTACGTACCAATACACAAATCTCCCAAATCCAAGTCGAATCTTGAGTCCCCAGTAGGTCATGATTCAACTGATGGACTCGTGCATACTACAATAGCTGGATGTACGGCCCTAACAACTCCAATTTCTGTAGAATTTCCAATTTATAATTACGCATTTATGCTGGTTACTGTTTACTCTCAAAGATTTCAACTCACCTTTGCTTTGCCAGTGTTTTCCTTGAATGCTTTCATTCCTTCTGCTGTCAGATTGCAATTCTCAGCCTTGAATACCTTCACCTGACATTGTGTAACAACTAATCCAACTTCAGCCCAACCAGCAGGTCCAAGATCACTATTGTAACCGACATCTAGTTCATCCAACTGAAATAAATAAGAAATGTAAGACTTTTTACAATGGTGAAAATGTAAAGAAAAGAATTGTAATCTCTAGCAAAAGCAAAAACCCTAAGAATATGAAAAAAGGTCAATATATCAGACAATATATAAAAAGTAAGACTCATCACTGCGGTTCCAAATATGGGGAAGAGCAGGGATCAGTGATATTTTCCTATGATTATTCTGTGTACCAGGAAGTGTTCACTATTAGCGCATTTATTGGGAACAGTTTTTTTAGGGACTGCAAAATCGCACTTTTTTTTAATCTGAGGGGCAAAAATTCGAAGTTGACAAATATTTTCGTGCGAATATGAAGTTGACAAATAAGTTGGGTACTAGTACTTTTATCGACTTGGCGATGCCCTGGCGATTTTCCGATTGCAACATTATTGAATTTTCGGAATATGTGAAACATTCTCTATATTATTAAATTAAATGACTTTTTGCGGGCTCAGAGTTCTCCCGGGAAATGATGTGTACCAGACGTTAGATAAAATATTATTAGCGATTAATACTTTTCCCGACGCCCCGTTTTCGAAAATACAAAGTTATATTTCAAAAGATGAATTTTGTGACATTTAAAATAAATAAAACATTAATTATGGTTAATTTATATCAAATTTTAATTTTCACGACACCCTGTTTCGAAAATACAAAGTTATATCGCGAAAGATCGTTATGTTACATTTAAAATAAAACAGTTTCGCGATTAAGCTTGATTAAACTTGATGTTAGCAACCAGATTTTGTTTATTACAGCGCTAGCCTATATTAAACTGCCTAAAACTTTTAAACATTTCCTCATGTCGTCGTTAAGTTGCTACAATGCTTTGCAAACTTTTATAGAATAAATTCATTAAAACATTTGACATTTTATTATACTTTTGGGGACAAGAAAATGGGGGCGACCGCCCCTCCCCCTCCTAGACTTTCGATTTTTTTCCAAATTGTGCAACCATTATGCAACTTGCTGCAATATATCTGCTCAAGAATAGGTCCACCGAAGGAGAAAAATCCGTTTAAAATGCGAATATTATACTTCCAAACCAAGTAGCCCTACATACTTCATAATTGGGCAGACTACACCTCGCATGGGTCAAATACGCGGTTATGATGCCATAAAAGCAAAAAATGTGCGTGCCTTAGGCGCGCTCATCAACCCCCTGGCGGCCGTTTTGAATACAAATTAATGATACGTGGCCGCCAATAGCAAAAAGGTTGTGCACCCCTGCCTTATACTAATTAATTCTTTTAAACATTCTGAATCAGAACAAAATGGAAGTATTAGCCCTCATTTCCATTCAAATGGCCAATATTGCAGATACCGATACATCTCTAGTAGGTACCAATACACAAATCTTCAAGTCGAGTCTTAAAAGCAATTGGAATCAAATTTCAAATGTGCCAGGTTCACCAATTAAAGCATTGAAACCAAGTCCATTCGAGTCCCCAGCAGGTCATGATTCAACCGATGGACTCGTTTATACTGCAATTGCTGGATGTGGGCCTTGTTCAATGACAATATTTGACAATATTTTCGTGCGAATATGAAACTGACAAATAAGTTGGGTGCTAATACTTTTTCCGACTTGGCTTAAAATAAAACAATTTCGCGATTAATTAGATGAAATTTCACTTTTTACGAGAACCCGTTTCTGAAAATACAAAGTTATATCACAAAAAAAAATGCGTTTTGTTACACTTATTTCGCAATTTGCACTCCCAATAAAATACTCATTTTCCAGAATTCAAGTCGCTGATGAATCCGTTCCTATCGTTCAAGCTTCACACACGTTCAGTCGAGTGTCTGGCAATATTTTGGTCGACGATGAATTGAAAAGTTGCCACACGTGGTTTGTATAACGGTAATAACTGAAAATTAAGATTTTGCAGCAAAAATGAATTTGTCTGAAAGTGTTATTTTACGAATCTTGCCTGCAGAAAATAAACATGCTGAAATGCTTGATTATAATTGATAGTCGTTAAATTTATTTTACACCATTAATTAACGCGCCCTACCAAGTGCGGCCACATAAATTGCAGTTGCCTCAGTATGGACTGTGTGTTTTTGGCGCTCTCACATTAATGATAATTTAATGTTTTTTTATAGCTTTTCTTTGTATTTCACAACTTAGTATCAAAGGGTATAATGCGCTATTTATGCGCTTCTCGTTCGACGTTAATTTTAAGGATTTCAACGCTTCATGAGGTCGAATAAAAATTATTTATCAAATGGATCGATATTTCGCGACACATTCCAAATTATTTGGGAACCACTATCATATCATTATTTACTTTTTATATTCATGTTTTTCGAAAATCATCCTCGTTGTGTTTGGTTTACATGTGTTCCTATTAGCGTAATTGTAATATATGGAAAAGGTCGCACTCGGCCATGAGATGCGAATATTTTATACTAGGTTTGCAGCATTAGAGAGAGTGCTATTTATAAATGCTGAAAGTACATGGTATTCATTACTAAAAAATTTGTCACTATATCAGTGGTTCTCAACCGCCGTCCACCGGTCCGGGCAACCTTGCTGCCGGTCCGCCAAATATTTTTCCAATATTAATATATATATTATAAGCAAATTGCAAATTACGAAGTATTGATGGCATGTCCGTTAGTTTTATGATTTTTTTTTAACTCTTATTGATTCGTAGTATCGGTATTCGTCTAACAACCGGACTTGGTGAGAAGTCCTCTACCCAGGGTTGTTCAAAACGAATCGAATATTCGAATTTATTCGAATAGCAAAGTATCCGAATACCTTTTCGGCTGATTTTCGAATAATTTCGAATGGGAGCCACTTTTCGCCGTAAACACAGTGTTTCGTTTTACCGTGTTTTTTCTGTATTTTTTATTGAAATACCTTTTGCATCCTCGTGAAACTACTCGTTGCGTTCTGGCAGACGCATAAGTTGCCGAAATTATATTTTCAAAAATGTAAGTCAAAATTCTTGCTTTAACTTTCACTTCTATTGCGTACATATATTGCCAAGTTTGGATCGATACCAAAGCCATACGATTTTAACATGAATATATATCCGAAATACCAGAGAGACGTTTTGATCATGAAACTTATTCAATCAAGGGCAGCCTTCGACAAAACAAGGTGCGGTACGATAATGAAGAATTTAGTTACATCGGCGGCAACCTGATTTAAACGATAAACAGGCTATGCTAATTGTAAGACCCCTCTGATGCAATGATGTCAAAACTAATCTGTTATCACCCCATAATAGGGATTTGAGTTTCTGTATTGACATTTTTCTCATAAAATAAAGGCATTATTACGGTTAAAACTATTCGGTTAATTTTTAATGTATACTTAGCATACTTTGTTCCTAATGTTAAAGTGATGGAGTTTTTCAAAGGTATACAAACTTATTTATTCGGTCGTATTTCAATTTTCGCAGGGTGGTTCTTGCCGAAGAGTCAGTCACGTAATGGCTTATCGGTTGCATCTTCCTGCGCCAACTACTTTTGCGGACGCATTGAACTAAAGCTTGAGAAGGCGTGTATGGGCCTTCATCGATATTTGTGGCGTTTCGAAAGATTTATTGCGAATGAGAAGCGCTTGGCATGTTTTTGCATCCATTTTTCTTTAACCTATTTAATTAATTAATACAAAAAATATCGGAACTTCCGAAGTATGAGAACCAAGATGGCGGACACCAGAACGTGGTATGTCCACCAGGTTAGGGTTAGGCCATAATTTCAGGTACAAATACCACCGGAGTCACTTGGCTAGTCCCCGAACTCATAATAGAACAAAAATACGGGAAATTGGAATAAAATTATGGCCTAACCCTAACCTGATACACATACTTCGTCCATTGTCCACCATCTTGGTTTACATACTACTTTTAAAACAATTCTTTTTGAACGCATCCCTGCACACAGTACGGTACCTAATTGAGAACCTCGCAGTTCGCACGTTCCGTAATTTACAGTAATAATTCAGATAGGTTAGATAGTAAAATCAACAAAAGAGACAAAAAATCAACAAAGCGTTATCCCGTTCTTTCAAAAGAAACCCAGCGATGGAAACCAAGTTAGTGGTGTTGACAGGACAGATGAAGAGACTGCTACTTCAACTCCCAGCAGAGAAAAAGTACCTCTTCCCATGTGCCAAGTCTGCGCTAAAATTCTTTCAAACGACGCAATGAAACCCGCAAAGCCAACGAAAAAAATAATATCAAAAAGACAGCAGCAAATTTCTCATTAAATTGAATTTTTTTGCACCGCCTTTTTTTGCCGTAATTGCATTCTTTTGATTATGTTTTGTGTTCGTGACATTTTTGGTTAATTTTGAAGGTCCGCCGGTCAGCGAAATTTGTTTTGAAATTTTACCGGTCCGCGAACTGAAAAAGGTTGAGAACCACTGCACTATATGATATTTTCTAACCGATTTGAACTAAGGCAAGCCCACATTTAAAAATGACATGTCTTTGCATAAGCTCTGAGATATTTGAATATAAATGAGAAAATAGGTGAAGCTAGCTCATGAAACAGGGGAGGATTTTCCAAGGGATCTTGCATAATATTTCGAAGGCCATGTAAGTCGCCTATCTCTTAAAACAGTGTTTTTCAACCGGTGTGCCGTAAACTATCGTCAGGGGTGTTTTCCAATTTGTATGTTCATGCGATGTAGCGCCTGGCAGAGTAATCATGTAGTACTGTTTTATACCAGAAGGTGACAGCAGCAGGTGGCGATTTGCCGCTTTGTTTGTTTTTATTTGATTACTATTCAAGATGTCCAATTCAACATCTTTCTTCAATGTTTCTTCAAGAAAGCTCATATTAACAATTTAACACTTATATTGTGAACATCATGTCTTTTCCCCACATTTTCAGCTGGTGGTGTGCCGCAGTATTTTCTCAATGAAAAAAGTGTGCCTTGGCTCGAAAAAAGTTGAAAAACACTGTCTTAGAACAACGGGTGGCGACTTTCAAAGTGATTTAAAGTGACACATTAATAATTATCCGATTAAGGTCAGGGATAAATTAAAAAGTTGAATAATCAGCGCAATCTGCATTCCTAACCCTAATTGGATAATTACTATTATTATTCGGGTGTTGGTGGGGGATGTTATTTTGCACTGGCTTTGTACAATTGATCTACCCCGTAACTAATATGGATTCCAGCTTGCGTGTTTCAATCGTTGTCTATTAGATAGAAGGAGTAACACAAATGTGAAAGATAGCCTTTGCTGTTCACGCGAATTAGCACCCATTGATAGCACGAAAGTTTAGTTCGCTACAGGCGTGCTTAGCAGGTGTCATTTTGTTACTGATGAATTTGCTCGTTTTAAACAAGGATTTAAACGAAACTCTGTTAACGAAAAAACTCCTATTTAATTTGCAATATCAACAGAAGGAGCGCTCCTTCGAGTATCTATGTTGTTTTAAAGAAGTTAAAATAAAAGCTAGGGCACCTTACTTTTAAAATGCACTTTCGCACTTTTATTTTCGACTGCGAAGCACTTTCGCATTCATAATTCGCTCAGAGTTAACACTGGTACCAGGGTGGCGATGGAAAACAAAGTGAACTTGGTCAGGGTGCAGATGTGGTTTTGAAATGTGACTCGTGCATACTGCAATCGCTGAATGAACAGAGCCAATCCCCCCACAAAACTGAAAGTTAATGGGCCACAAAACGGAAAGTTAATGGGCTACAAAACTGAAAGTTAATGAGCCACAAAACTAAAAGTTAATGGGCCACAAAACTGAAAGTTAATGGGCCACAAAACGGAAAGTTAATGGGCCACAAAACTGAAAGTTGATGGGCCACAAAACGGAAAGTTAATGGGCCACAAAACTAAAAGTTAATGAGCCACAAAACGGAAAGTTAATGGGCCACAAAACTAAAAGTTAATGAGCCACAAAACTAAAAGTTAATGAGCCACAAAACTGAAAGTTAATGGGCCACAAAATTGAAAATTAATGGTCCACGAAACTGAAAGTTAATGGGCCACAAAACTGAAAGTTAATGGGCCACAAAATTGAAAGTTAATGGGCCACAAAACTAAAATTTAATGGGTCACAAAACGGAAAGTTAATGGGCCACAAAACTGAAAGTTAATGGGCCACAAAATTGAAAGTTAATGGTCCACGAAACTGAAAGTTAATGGGCCACAAAACGGAAAGTTATTGAGCCACAAAACGGAAAGTTAATAGGCCACAAAACGGGAAGTTAATGGGCCACAAAACGGAAAGTTAATGGGCCACAAAACTGAAAGTTATTGGGCCACGAAAATGAAAGTTAATGGGCTACAAAATGGGAAGTTAATGGGCCACAAAACTGAAAGTTAATGGGCCACAAAACGGAAAGTTAATGGGCCACAAAACGGAAAGTTATCAGGCCACAAAACTGAAAGTTAATGGCGACAAAACTAAAAGGTAATGGGCCACGAAAATGAAAGTTAATGGGCCACAAAACTGAAAGTTAATGGGCCACAAAACTGAAAGTTATTGGGCCACGAAAATAAAAGTTAATGGGCCACAAAACTGAAAGTTTATGGGCCATAAAACTGAAAGTTAATGGGCCACAAAACTGAAAGTTATTGGGCCACAAACTGAAAGTTAATGGACCACAAAACTGAAAGTTTATGGGCCATAAAACTGAAAGTTAATGGGCCACAAAACTGAAAGTTATTGGGCCACGAAAATGAAAGTTAATTGGCCACAAAACTGAAAGATAATGGGCCACAAAACTGAAAGTTATTGGGCCACGAAAATGAAAGTTAATTGGCCACAAAACGGAAAGTTATCGTGCCACAAAACTGAAAGTTAATTGGCCACAAAACTGAAAGTTAATGGGCCACAAAACGAGGACAAACGCTATGGGACATGACACTATAGGAGGATCCATTGAAGATTGAATAAATAAAGTAGTTTTTATACAAGGGCAGGGAGGAATGAAGAGTTTTATACAAGGGCAGGGAGGAATAAGTTCCAAAATGGACGAAGGGAGGAACTCAAGAAAAGGTTGGGAACCACTGAGGTAGAACATAGAACCACCTGAGCTGGACTAATTTCTATGATACGAGTTGGAACAATTAGTTATCTTGAATAGAAATACTTTTATCAATTCCCAATATTAAGTTTACCTTCAAACAGGAACCTTCCAAATTTGACTGCAGGATATGAACCAGTTCAGCATTGAGATTGCAGTTGATTAGACAAACCCGAGTTAGGTGGTTGCAGCGTCGTATATCTGATGACATTACATGCATTCCTGCTGTAGTGAAGGATTCGCCACGGAAATCAATCTCCCTGATGCAGGATTGAATAAGATCGGTGTCGTTAGCTTCATATAATGTTCCATACAGCTCCAACTTCTGATATGATTCCATTTCTTCATGTGACTGAGATGATAGAATTTCTCTCAGAATTTTTTTCTTCTCATTTGTCTGGCATCTGGTAAGTAAAAATATTTTTAGTTTGAGAAAGGCTAACATGATCTTCAAGCTGATGTAAAAGATGGGAGTTTCAATACTGTGGGACTTATTAAGGACAAACGGAATACTAAGTTGGCCATAGTTGTAGTACAAATAGCATAACTACAGGCCTGATTCTCCGCCAGTTCAATACACAATAATTGGTATCCCTAAAGTATGTGAACCAAGATGGCGGACACCGGAATGTAGTATGTGTACCAGGTTAGGGTTAGGCCATAATTTGAGGTACAAATACTAGTGAAGTCACTTGGCTAGTCCTCAAACTTGTAATAGAACTAAAATTGGGCGATAATTATGGCCTAACCCTAACTTGGTACACATACTACGTTCCAGTGTCCGCCATCTTGGTTCACATGCTTTGGGATTATCCAATAAATCAGTCTTGTCTACTTTTTTCAAAGCCATGAAAGTCTAGATGTCGAACAAATTTAAATATGGTATAAAAGACATAACAAGTACATTTAAACATAGCCAGGAGAAAAGTTTGTTACGAGAGCTACTTTCAATATCAGGATTCAGAATAATTCCACCCAATAGATGGCGAACAACTGGCCCAATGATCATCTTCGGAACTCAGTTTCGATAAATGTGCGAAACGTAGTAGAATCCATAGTTTGAATATGAGAGCGGATAAAACTTCTTGAAGGACTTGATGGCTGAAGAACATCAGATGGTCTCCCTCCATGAGATGTTGGTTGAACATGTTTTTCCCAGGTACCTTGATGATAATGTCACGAACTTCATTGGATTGAAGTTGAAATTTTGTGAGATCCTTAGTTGTAAAAATGACTCGTTTCTTATTTGTGCCTTCGAAGGACATTCCCATCAAGTTTGGAAGTATTTCTTCAATCCGTTTCCTTTCATGTGTGTGATCGGATCGCATGAAGATGTGAAGGATTCGTAGCATTACCTCTGTCATAGTACCTGGTAGTTTCTCTGGGTTGAACTTACAGACAATTGCATTGAATATTAGGAAAAGTGGAACAGATGATAATGGAATGAGTGCGGGTGACTGCCTTGTTAATTTTTTCCAAGCTTTTTCACCGTCGTCCCCGACAACTGCAATAAACAACCTCTTGATGTCGTCTCGAGTGAAACCAGCAAGGGCAGTTATGAATTGAGGCCTCAATTCTAAAGGAAGGGTGCTATTCTGTGCTCACGTGAAGAAATCACGATTGTCATTCTGGGAAAGAGATTGCCTGTTATGAGATTCCACATAATTGTTGCTGTGCTCGATTTATCGGTATACTTCATCTTGTTGTATTTTCCAAGGAGATTCCAAGTTGCCTGATCCAGGCCGTCAAGGAAAAGAATACACATTGATTGATTTTCTTGCAGCCATTCGTAACCTTCTCCCACATCTTGTGTTGCGAGTCCAAAAGCAATTTTCCCAAAAAGTAATTCGCATGGACTTATGGCTTCTTCTGCTTTGTTTCCTTGTAAAAACGGGATATCTTTGATATTCAAGTGATGAATAAATTTGAAACGACGCCCTGTATTACCAAATAGCGGAATCCTTAATCCTTCACTTATTTGAGCTTGTTCGACTAATTTGTTGGCAACTAGAAGACTTCGAGCAAGACGTTTCATGATTGTCGACTTCCCACTGCCCGCCTGACCCAGTATGGCGATGTATCTGTATTTTTTGTTGCTCAAATGTTTCACAAGCACATCCAGAGAAATAGGTTCACCAATATCACTTTTTATAACGGTAAATTCCATCTCGATTTTATATTCCGTAACTTTGGGGGCCATTTCTCCACGGTAGAAGCCTGGTACTTTTCTTATTTGAGGATTCACCTCAAAGTCTGGTTCATTCAGTTTTGCTTCTTTGTAATTTTCTGTGATGTTAACTCTGGTTTGCTTCAAGGTCCTGTTGTTGAAGTAATTGATGAATTTTCTTGCATGGTTCCCTGAAAAAGGTTTGAACTCTAATAAATTACAAGTTGAATAATGCTGTCGAAAATAAATTATATATACAGGGATATATAGTATGCAGTCAATAGTCATAGGATTGCACATGTTTGAATTCTGTGAACCTGTGTTTTATGAAATAGGATTGTTCACTACAACAAAACTTAAATAATTTTCGGTTTTTATTTCTAGTATTATATCCGGCCACTTTTCAAATAAAAAATTTGCGTCACGGATTCACTCCTTTATTTGTCTTTAGCATTTCGCCGCCTGGTGCAGCCATGGGGGGGTCAGGGTGGAAACTTCCTCTTTTGAAATTTTAGAAAAACTTGCATTTTGCTAACCGCCTATTATTTTTATTTTGTCGACGCAACTGCAGGTTAAATTGAAGACTAGAGCCCAAACGATATATCGGCCGTCCAATATATAGGCCTTGTTTTTCACAAATTTTGAACTATCGGTAACAGCTAATTTTATCGATAGTTATCGGCCAATCATGTGACTGCTAAAGTGACAAAATTACGTCGGGAAAGCAGTTGTCGTCTAATTATCCATTTCATGTATGGCCATAACTGAAAGGTTATTACCGATAATGACGTTTTTGAAAGAGTACACAAGGGGAAAAAGGCAATTTAGTTTCGGCTGAAAATGCTAGTCCTACAAATAGAATATATTTGAAGCTGTTGAGCTGTGGGGAATCCTCATGGTGGCAATATATGCTTTCAATGAAATTTGTATTTTCCTATTGCTATGACAAATAATTGCACTCTTGCATTTTGATGGCAACAGTAACAATACGATTACCAAATAATGTCATCCCTAGCTCCGAATTCGAGACCTTCCTAAATGCAATTTAAAAGTTCTTGGGCAACAGTTCAATCTTATTAATGGTTTTTAATCATTTTTCTGAAAATTACACAAAAAACTTCCAGAGTTAAGACTAATGATAATGAGATTAATTAGCACCTACAGACTTTGCATGCTTTATTGAAACTGAATTCATAGGAATTGAGTAAATGAAGTATTGAGAGTATGTGCAATTTTCAACTGTCAACACTCGACAGTTTTCGAAACCCAATTTTAAAAACCTCTAAATTTTTTTATGCAATTTTTCGTCGTCATTGCACGAGTTGAACATTCTGGTATAGATTTCATTTCTTTTGCAAAGAAAATTATCAGAGTGTTGCTTGTTACTTGTAGCCATCTTTTTATGTGAGAAAACATCGGTATCAGATCTTCGGCCTAGTTTTAGAAAACTATCGATATCGGTTTAAAAAGGCAGTATCGGTCGGGCCCTATTGGATTAATGGATTGATTACTTACAGAATTACAGAGAATTCATTATTCATTTAAAAAGTCATTATTTTTAACAAGTAAAAATAAAATTTTAGGCTACTCCACAAGATTTTTCATCTAATCTTAAGATTTTTCTAACAGCGATAATGAGTTGGCGGGATTGCAAAAATTTGTATGAAAACTAAATACATTAGGCAGTTTATATCTTATGTTTATGTCCACATATCGCCTACCTGAGTTACGTTACACAATTAAATTGGTACTCCAGAAGTATGTGCACCAAGGTGGCGGATACCGGAACGTAGTATATGTAGCAGTTTAGGGTTGGGCCATAATTTCAGGTACAAATACTGCGGGAGTCAATTAGCTAGTCTCGATCCCGTAATATAAGGAAAATTGGAATAAAATTATGGCGTAACCCTAACCCGGTACACATACTACGTCACGGTGTCCGCCATATTGGTGCACATACTTCTGGGAGCACCATTAAATTTATATAGAAGGACATTTTAGAATCTCGTAGTTGTCATGGATTGAATATTTTACGCGACAGAAAAGCCATTATACGCAAAAAATTTGGCTTTTTCAATGAGATAGTAATAGCGCTGACTGCTTCAAAGTTGGAATTTCCGATTTTGGATTCACAATTCTTTGCGAGTGCAAAAAAATAATTGTCGTGGCACAAGACGTACTATGTTGAAGGAAATTTGTGATTTAGGGAGAGCAAAAACCGACATGAAGATGTTTACGGGCTAAATGACATGTGATGCTGGCAAAAACAAAAGGTGATTACAGCAAAATGCAAAATTTTGTCGTATAAAAACATTCGAGACTTCAAACAAATGGAAATCAATGATTATATCAGGACAGATTATAAATACACTCACCTGCCACAAGTAAATCTTGATTGCTGTATTCTAAGTCAACGTTGCGTCGTTCTCTGCTTTGTAAAGGAGATGCGGAACCTGAATTTAAATGAAAAAAACTTTGAAGCACAAACACATGAATCTGAAAGTTTTCATTAGGGTTACGAATGGTCGCATCAGATTACAAGTAAAATATGAAGTTTCCAGAAGGGATTATGATGGATTGGTATTTTAGGAACTAATAAATATTACATGAGAGTTACAAACAACCCAGTATCAAACTCATCAAAAATGCTTTACCTCTGTGAGTGGATCTCTGTGCAGGTTGTAGGTCACCTAGAAAGAATAAAGCAAATATTTTTATGAAATGAAGTTTGTATTCAACCAGTATGAAGGGTACCCGCAAGTATCGTATGGGAAGAAGTCTTTTCGTGCTATAGATCGCCGCTTAAAAATTAACAGGTATACCTATTTACCACGTATGGTTTTTAAACTAGTAATATTTTTTTTGAGCTGCAAATGACTTTTTTTTCAAAATATAAATAAACATTTTTGAAATAATTTATTGACCATGCAAAAACAACCCAATTTCAATCAAATTTTGTTATGGGAGGTGACTCTAGTAATCAGAAAAATAAAACGGGGAACGTTGGTGAATCGTAATCGTTTACTAAGTATGCTAGTTTTGTGCATGTTTATATTAAACCATTATGAGTTGAGGTCAGTGGGCGCAGCCAGGGGGGGGGGGGGGGGGGGGGGGGGGTTCGGGGTCGGTTCCTTTTGAATTTTCTGAAAAGTGAAAAAGTTGCCGATAACATGTGCAATTGCCTTCTGCTAAAATCGCCGTTCGTTTTCATCAACGCGCATGTTATTTATGCCGTGAACGCCTTTTACATTGGTGTTTATTCTCTTTAAATCACAAATTTGTGCCACGGGAACAACGATAATAATTTCATTTTTGTACCCACACGGAAATGTGAAAACTGAAAAAGCGTGCAATTGCCTTCTGCTAAAATCGCCCATGTTTTCATCAGCATGTTATTTAGGCCGTAAACGCCCTTACGTCGGTTTTTATTCTTTCCAAATCATAAATTTTGTGCCACGATAAACATGATAAATATTTTATTTTTGTGCTTTGCATGTAATTGTGAATTCGTGAGTTATTATACGTTCATCGGTAGCGAGGTTCTAAAGACAAAAGAAGGAGTAAAACCGCGATCGAAATTTGATTGAAAAGCGGCATTATAAAATACTAAAAATAAAACCGTAAACAATATAAGTTTTGTTGAGTCCCGCGACAGTCTAGTAATAGCGTCTAGTATCAGCTCTTCGGCCTAGTTTTAGAAAACCATCGATATCGGTTTAAAAAGGCAGTATCGGTCGGGCCCTATTGAAGATCATTAAATTATTATAGCAAGACATTTTAAACATGCTCGTATCGGTCATGGATTGATTACTTACAGAATTACAGAGAATTCATTATTCATTTAAAAAGTCATTATTTTTAACAAGTGAAAATAAAATTTTAGGCTACTTCACAAGATTTTTCATCTAATCTTAAGATTTTTCTAACAGCGATAATGAGTTGGCAGGATTGCAAAATTTGTATGAAAACTGAATACATTAGGCAGTTTATATCTTATTTTTATGTCCACATATCGCCTACCGTAGTAAAATTTTTATTTTGGCACAACAAGACGCAACCATGAGTTACGTTAGACACAATTAAATTGGTACTTCAGAAGTATGTGCACCAATGTGGCGGATACCGGAACGTAGTAAATGTAGCAGTTTGGGGTTGGGCCATAATTTCAGGTACAAATACTGTGGGAGTCAATTAGCTAGTCTCGATCCCGTAATAAAAGTAAAATAAGGAAAATTGGAATAAAATTATGGCGTAACCCTAACCCAGTACACATACTACGTCACGGTGTCCGCCATATTGGTGCACATACTTCTGAGAGCACCATTAAATTTATATAAAAGGACACTTTAGAATCTCGTAGTTGTCATTGATTGAATATTTTACGCGCCAGAAAAGCCATTATACGCAAAAAGATGGCTTTTTCAATGAGTTAGTAATAGCGCTGACTGCTTCAAAGTTGGAATTTCCGATTTTGCGAGTGGAAAAAATAATTGTCGTGGCACAAGAGTACTATGTTGAAGAAAATTTGTGATTTAGGGAGAGCAAAAACCGACATGAAGGTGTTTACGGGCTAAATGATATGTGATGCTGGCAAAAACAAAAGGTGATTACAGCAAAATGCAATGCAAAATTTTGTCGTATAAAAAAATTCGACTCTTCAAATAAATGGGAATCAATGATTATATCAGGACAGATTATGAATACACTCACCTGCCACAAGGAAATCTTGATTGCTGTATTCTAAGTCAACGCTGCGTCGTTCTCTGCTTTGTAAACGAGATGCAGAACCTGAATTTAAATGAAAAAACTTTGAAGCACAACACATGAATCTGAAAGTTTTCATTAGGTTTACGAATGGTCACATTCAGATTACAAGTAAAATATGAAGTTTCCAGAAGGATTTGTTGGATTGGTATTTTAGGAACTAATAATTATTACATGAGAGTTACAAACAACCCAGTATCAAACTCATCAAAAATGCTTTACCTCTGTGAATGGATCTCTGTGCAGGTTGTAGGTCACCTAGAAAGAATAAAGCAAATATTTTTAATGAAATGAAAGTTTGTATTCACCAGTATGAAGGGTACCGCAAGTATCGTATTGGGAGAAGTCTTTTCGTGCTATAGATCGCCGCTTAAAATCAACAGGTATACTATTTACCAGGTATGGTTTTTAACAGTAATCTTTTTTTGAGCTCATATGACTTTTTTTTCAAAATATAAATACCAATTTTGATAATTATGACATCAACAACATTTCAATCAAATTTTGTATGGGAGGTGACTCTAGTAATCAGAAAAATAAACGGGAGAACGTTGGTGAATCGTAATCGTTTACTAATAACAGTTTTGTGCATTTTATATTAAACCATCATGAGTGAGGTGTAAAGGTGGGATTCATTTCAACTTACTGCTCTATTAATTTTCTCTTTAAAAAAATAGCATTGCTCAAATATAAGAAATACAAAAGTGTAATATCATATTCCAGAATTCCCATTATTTTTCAATTTCGTTACAACAACAGTTGAGACTTATAGGCCCAGTACACATCCGATAATTATCAATATACACACCTAATGGAGGAGGCGTCACTTCATAGACTGGACAGGGTAAATCATTTGAAGCAAGTCTGGCATCAGCAAATTCATTTCTTCTTTGTGCTGTTGTTGCACCTGAAGTCATAAATATAAATCTTCATTAATAACTGGCATACTCAGCTTAGGAAAGACCTTAACTTTTTCGAAGGACTATCGCTTGGCTGAGATGGGCACAACATATTTTATTGGGGCATAGCCAGTTTAGCAAGATGACTATGACTGGCCTAGTATAACCTTTTTTCTTGGGGTTCAGTAGGAATAAAGCCCTTTCTAAGGCATACAGCTTGTTTAAAGAAGCATACCCAGTGACCATAGCATGCCTATGGCAGCCAAACATTTTTCCTAGGGCATGGCATGATTAGTAGGAACAAAACCCAAGGCATAAAGATCGTTTAAGAGGGGCATAACCAGTTTAGGATTAGCCTTAGGACCATAACATGCCTGGGACGGCCAAACCTTTTTCATCGGGCATGGCTTGATTAGTAGGAACAAAACCTTATCTAAGGCATACAGCTTGTTTAGAATGGGCATAACAATTTTGCTGAAGCAGGAAATTCCAAACTTGTTCAAAAGCGTCTTTTGCACTTGGAAACGAAATTAGTCTTGGAGTCGAGTCAAACTTGTCAGTACTCAAAACGATATTAATTGAAGTCATGATTTCTGAGAAAAACTCGAAAAGCACAGGCTTGCATTTTCAGAAGACACTAACAGAAAGTTTTTGCCACCGGGACATTGGTTCCCAATAATTGGAGCTAGTGTCAGAGTAAAAATTTACCAATACAGAGTTAACATATTTGTCAACCAGGAGTCAAAACCAATTTTATTACGATTCTGAATGCATCATATTATATCTCAAAACCTTGATGGTCACTTAATTTGTTCAAATTAAATGTTTATTTACCATCACGTGATCTTTCCCCGATGATAATGACGCTGTCACGAATAATTGTCGTTGCTACTTCTCCCTTGGTTATCACTCCTCCACCTACAATATTAACAAGAGTATTCCTTAGCATAACTTAAAGTAAAAATTCCACTAACTGACAGTGATCTGGTCAGACTAAGCGAGATGTAACAATTAACAATGCTTCTATGCATCGGACTTTAGAAGGCAAGTAAAAATGACTTAGAAACTCAATCAAACTTTAACGATAGTATAAAACTGAAATGACAAAGCTACCATTTGTGGTAATTTTTATTGTATTTGGTATTTAAACTTTGTTGCATATGTTTTACTGCCATCGACAATTTTCTGCGGAGTCATAAATGGCATGCTTTTACCTGAGTCATGTTTTGTTGGTGCTTCATAATTTGTGAACTGTTTTGAGATGCTGCTAACGTTTAAGTGAAAAAAAGCCTAGTATTTGTGGAACTCATGCATTTGCTTGCGAAGTAATGAACTTAAACTTAGGTTACAACACAATTTAGCACAATCAGACATAAATTTCAAGCTTTTACCTCCCATAATGTGAATGTTTGATTCGTTAATTTCTACATTCGTAGGTTCCTCTGTTTGTAATAATGATGCAGAACCTTAATGGAAGAGAGATGTACACATAAGTAACAATTTATTGGTAGTAACTCATATTGAAAGATACGCAGACAAGATAAGTTATAATCTATCAAATATCTTCTGTTCTAAGTTGAAGGATTATACCAAAAACAAACACTACGATCAAAAGTTGTAGTAAAGTAAAAATCAATCTAAGAAGACACCATACAGTTTAGTTATTTGCCTTCGCATTGACTACACGTAGCAATTGGGCGACGCAATGGCTTGGCGCAGGAGTGTGCAACCTTCAATACAGGAGGACCAGATACAAATAAGTGGGTGAAACTGCGAGCTGCACTTTCATTTAACATAGGCTTTCTAGTAGTTGCAGGCACAAAAATTTTGGGGAACTCCCGTAGTATGTAAACCAAGATGGCAGACGCCGGAACCTAGTATGTGTAACAGGTTAGGGTTAGGCCATAGTTTTAGGTACAAATACTATGAGTGTCACTTAGCTAGTCCCCAAACTCGTAATAGAACTAAAATAAGTAAAATTGGAATAAAATTATGGCTTAACCCTAACCTGGTGCACATACTACGTTCCGGTGTCCGCCATCTTGGTTCACATACTACGGGAATACCAAATTGGACTCAGGTATAGTCTTGGCAACACAAAGTGACTGGAATTACCAGATTGAACTGCAGTAAAAACTTGTTTTGCGGACAGCACGCCATTCAAAATTGGGATTCCCCTGCGTGCCGCACAATTTGTTCTTGTGGGCTGCAGGTTGCACATTCCTGGTTCCTAGCGATTGAAGCCCCATGCCCCCACCTAACCCAAGGTGTAATAAATTGGGGGGGAATAGAAATCAGGACCAGAAAGATTCCAGTCCTTACAAAAATAAAATATCAGTGGCTGCTTGGTCGCCCCAGTAGTATGTGTACCGATATGGAGGTAACTAATTTTGTTCGCCTACTTTACATCCAGTTGTGTAAAGGGACGGAAGCCTATAGGCAGGGGGTATATTCACTTGGCTAACACAGACAGCCCCCGAACTCGAAATAGAACAAATATAAGGAAAAATCTGATTAAATTATGGCCTAACCTGGTACACATACTACGGGAGTGCCGCTACTTGTACATTGACTGTGTTCGGAGCAAAAGACACGAGTAAGCGTCGTATGAAAACATTCGAGACTTCAAATAAATGGGAATCAATGATTATATCAGGACAGACTATAAATACACTCACCTGCCACAAGCCAATCTTGATTGCTGTATTTTAAGTCAACGTTGCGTCGTTCTCTGCTTTGTAAACGAGATGCGGAACCTGAATTGAAATGAAAATACTTTGTTGCAGGACAAATAATCATGGCACAAAAACATATTGTGGAATGCTTGCCTATATCAAAGGTAGCCAAAGTTTCAAACTCCAGGCAATTTTTTTCAAAATTTACTTCGCCTACAATATCTAAAAAGAACAGTTGAAAAGTTAACTCCTAATTTGATATCTTGGCTTAGGATTATGATGTCACACAGTTGTCGTATTATCTTTCTGCTAATTTACCGCACATTTAAATTTATTTTAGCTATCACATTCACTCACACCTTTCAACCGACTAAACCTATCCTGTGAGAGACGATTGGATACGATAATGGGTGCGTGCGATAGTTAAAGTGGTAAACTTGAAATTGCCAATTCTATATATAACACAAATGCTTAGTAAAGTATTTCTCTTCAATTCTCTTTTACAAGAGCAATCAAAACAAGAAAAGAGAGCACTGCCACTAGGTGGCAGCAACTGAAAATAGGTCATTCTTAGTTTACGATTTGATTGATTGAGTCGATACCAGGCTATTTTACTGTAGTTTTGAACAGTAAATGTTTGAGAAGGAGGCTTTGTTATTGAATAATGACTCATAAGCAGGTTTAGGAGTAAAGGAAGTCCTCAAATTGGGGTTGCATTCATTATTTTGAAAAAAAACTCAGTTTCTATTTCTGTTCTGTGATTTATCATTGGCTGGTAACAGTGGAATATTCATGTATGGGTGATGTGAACGGCAAAGCACTTTGAAACACTGTTAGAAAACATGTGGCTGAATATTGTGGGGGTTGTTTAGAGGGGAAAAAACCTCGATATTTGTTAAAAAGGTATAAAGCCTGTTTAAGAGAACATGACATATTTAGTGAGAGTTATGTATAGTATATCCAGGAAGTCGATAACTTTTTAACCAGACTAACTCATCGCAAAGTTTTTACCGTGTGACCCCTTTTACACTTGGAAATGTTCGAATCGAAGTAAGCTAATTCAAAACCATCACAAACTACATATAGATGTCAAAAAAGGGTGGCCGATAAAAAATAAAAGAAGTGCTAAAACAAAGTTTCACATTGTCCGGATGAAAGAAACAACATACACAACTGTCCAAGACTCCAGATATTTTTGAAATTACTAGGGGGGTCATAACATATTTATTATGGTCGTAGTGCGTGTATAAGGATAAAAGGTTAGACTTTTCAGATGGACCTTCAAGACAAGCATGGCGGTTTAATCTGAGTTTCAGGAGCCGTTTTTCACAGCTAAAGCCCCATTCAATTGCTGTTCGTATGACTTCTGGATGAATGCTTGTAATTTATTTTTCATATAAAAATACTTGATATCGTCCTTGACTCTCACCTGATGTTGACGGCATTTCCTCTTGCATATTCCCAGCAGACCCTGCATCAGCTTGTACTTGAGGTTGTTGTGCGACTGGAGGTGGAGCAGCTAGAAATAATTAGTTGGTAAGTTTTAGGAGCATTTATGAAAATTAAAAATATTCTGCCTCATATGTCTAATGAGGCTTTTGTCTGCTTTAAAACTGTGAAACCTAGAATAATAAAATGTTAACCAAAATTAATTAAATGTTAATTTTTCCTGTCATGTCACAAAGTTGAACAAATTGCCTTCAAAATGAACTAAATGTTAGTAAATTGCCCGAGAAAGTAAAATAAACATACCATTATTGTCATAATGCAGATGGAGGTGCTGAATATTGTCTGCGTGAATTACTTCTGCCTGAGCTTGCTGAATGTTATCGGCTTGAATCACTTCGCCATGAACTTGATTAATATTCGAGCCTGAAAAAAGTAAAATCAATCTTCATTCACTGGAAAATAACTATAATCTCTGTTTCATTGAAAATTATAGTTTGAATCCTAAATATCCACATATATATTATGAAATCGGGTTTCCTGCCAGAAATATATCTTGGTACTCCTGAAGTATGTAAAACAAGATGGTGGACACCGGAACGTAGTATGTGTACCAGGTTCGAGTTGAGCCATAGTTTTATTCTTTTCATTATTTTAATTTTAGTTCTATTACAAGGCCGGGTACTAGTCAAGTGACTCCCGTACTATTTGAACCTAAAATTATGGCCTAACCCTAACCTGGTACACATACTATGTTGCGGTGTCCGCCATCTTGTTACGCATACTATCCAATAATTCCCGATAATTATCATGCACAAGTTGCAAAGTTCTTCACAATATCATTTTTTTTTCAAATTTGTAGATAACGAATAATTATAATTATATTAATAATAATTATATTAATATTTATATTAATAATAATTATCATGCACAAGTTGCAAAGTTCTTCACAATATCATTTTATTTTCAAATTTGTAGATAACGAATAATAAATATATCATATATCACACCGAATAATACTGAAATACGGTAACTTGGATGAAATCTCACCTTGGATGTTCACAATATTAGCTCCCTCTTGCTGACCTTGATCTGCCATTCTTGAGATTAAAGAAACCACCTGATGAAAAAACAATAGGTTTGGACAAACATATCAAATTTTCTGGCTATTGAGTTGCTTTTATGGGCCTGATTTACTAAACACACCATATTCAAAGATTATATCAACGTTCCAGGTAATGGGTCGTTCGAAATGATTGCTGCTATCTTTTTATTAACGCTAAATTACAGCTTTATTCTTCAGAATATGAACATTATGAGGCACATTGGTGCTTAACTGACCAACAGAAAAAGAATTTTTCTGTCCAGTTATATTGAAGCGTTAAAACATACTGGGCAATGTTCACAAATCACAACACAACGTAAGTACTTCTAGTTGGCGTAGCACAACCATTTTTGCATATGCTATTCCTAGCCCCCACCTGACTATGCCATTCAAAAATTATGTCACTACGATGCCACAGTAACATAATGAGGCCGTCCAAACTATACGCACAGACGATCACCTGAAATTGAGCAAGTTATTTCTCATGCTTTCTAGCCGTAACGTTTTCCATTAAAGAGAGATGGCTGGCATTAGTGAGTTCATTATCTTCGATGCTTATGCCTTTTCGTGTCTTTACTTTGCTAAGTTTTTTGACATGATTGTTAGGTCGTAAAGACGTAATCTTTGGATGACAGAGCCAGGTGGGGGTTAGGAATAACATAAGCAAAAATGGTTGTGCCATGCCAAATAGAAGTACTTGCGTCGTGTAGTGAAAATATTTCTGTCATTTTTTTTTGTCGGTTGACCCACTAGTCGGGAAATGCAGCAATAACATACCTATATTTTGTTAGGTATTTACAGATGGTGTTTTCCACATTGTTCAAATGAGGTTTTGAAATCTTGATGTAATTATTAAGCTCTATATGTTTCATTCTGCTTTGAGAACAAAAAGTCAAGCCATAGAACAAGCATAAGCCAAGAAATACTTGTGTTATTACCCATTAAGCATTTTGAGACACACACAGATTATTGTGGTCAATCTTACCTCATCTTCCCATAAATAAGGGCGGTTTTGATCTCTGGCAAATTATTCCAGTATCCCCCTCATCTTTCATTGGGCAGATATATTAAAACAATGTGAACATACTGTTGACAACTATTTCTATTTTTTAAATTATATTAACTAATCTTCCAATATCTAAATATTTAAAAAAAAATGTAGTTACAAGTTAATCTTGGTAAATACATGTAAACCATTATTATTATGATTCTAGAGATTCAAGCAAAAATATAAATCACA